CGGGCCGCGGCCCGTCCCTGGGAGCGGCCCTCCCGCGCCCTCTGCCCAGCGCTCCGGTCAGCGGGGCCGGTCGCCTCAGGCCGAGTCGCCACGATGCCAGCCCGGGGCACCGGGGGAAGCGCGGTCGAGCCGCCGCAATCCCCACAGGGGCTCCGGAGGAGACCCCGCAAGGCGGGCCCGCCTCCGCGTACTCACCGGGCCTCCCCGGCCGCCGGCTCGGCCCTTCTATCCCGCCTCCCCGCCGCCGCTGCCTCTCCCGCGGCTCCCGGGGCGGCCGCACTGGGCGTTGGGGCTGGGCTGGGTCAAATGTCAGGAGGGGCGGGGTCGGACTCGCGACCGGCCGGGGTCGCGCGTCGGCCCTCGGGCCGGGCACTAACGGGTCCCGGGGCGCCGGGCCGGTTGGGCGGACCGCGGCGGTGAGCGCGGCTGCAGGCTGCGGTGAGGGGCGGGGAAGAGAGCGGCTGCGAGCGAGCGAGAGGAGGGTGGGAGGGAAGCCCGGGAGGAGGGGGCGGCGTGAGAGCCGCGGGGCGGGGCGGGGGCGGGGCCTGGCGCACCCGCCGCCGCGCGCGGGGGTTTGTTTATTTTCTCTGTTGGTCTCGGCGCTGGCGCCGGAGTAGAGGTTCGCGGGTAATGTGAGCGCCTGGAGTTGGGGGAAAGCACCAGAACCACCTGCTGGAGAAGGGGAGCTACGGGGGCCGGGCAGGGTCCAAACGTCTCACGTAGGCGGCGGCGCCGCGGTCTTCGGGGTCAGGGGGGAAGAAAAGGGCTCTCCCAGAGCGGGTGGCAGGAGGGAGGCCTCCGGAGAGAACAGGACTTTAGGCCGGTGCCCTGCAGCTCGGCTGGATCACCTGCGGCACGGAGAGCTCCCTGGAGTGCAAAAGGACTGTGAGACCCGGTAGCCTGGGCTCCCGGCAATTCAGGGCTCGACCTCCAGGCAAGTAGAGAGGGACCTGCCGGGCAAGATTCTCCGTAATGAAAATAACTAATAGTCCTCTGTCTTTGTAGAGTTACGCAGCCCTTTCACGTTACCTTCCTTGGTGCCCCTTCAGGTAGTCTAATTTCACAAGCGAAGTTAAGTGACTTACCCAGAGCTTCAGGGCTAATAAATGGCAAAGCCGAAACCCAGTTGTACTGGTTTCCAATTCTGTGCCCTTAACGCCGCACCCATTATCTCCGTAAATCGCGTTGAATCAACTAATAGTAGTGCCCCTTCCCGCACGGGTAAGATGCTGCAGGATTACAGACAAGAGTGGAAGATGTTATCCTTGCCCTCAAGGTGTAAGGACTAAAAGATAAAACAGATATAATAAAAGGCAAAATATGATATGTAACATGTAAAAAGTACAGAGTATTGCAGAGGATCAAAGAACTGCTGATGTATCTGTCTTGGGAACCAGGAAAAAAAGACAGTGTGAAGAAATAGGCATTTGGGATTAACCTTGAGGGAAATGGGAAAGGGTTTACAGCAAAGAGATAGCATGAGAATATATATGAAGGCTAGTTAAAAGTTGCGTTCTGGTAAGAGCAAAGCCTCTAGTCTAGGGTATGATGAGAAGTGGCAGAGAAAAAGGAAAATGGGGCCTCTGATGCCCAGTGGATGAATTGTATTTAATTTAATATTCTGAGTTTTCATGGTTTAAAAGTTTAGGGGAAGAAAAGGAAGGCTTTTCCTTGTACTATTGATCTGTAAAAAGATGTAGAAATCAGTGATAGAAAAACTGACAGACCTACAGCAGACCAGGTAAAAAGGTAAAGTTGAGTCTGAACTATGCAGATGGTCCTGTGTATGTGACTGGCGCCCTAGCCACTTAAGCTACAGGCGCTAAGCCAGCAGGTGAGATTTAAAAGAACGTGGTTGAGAGGTGATGTGGAGGCAGAATATACAAAATTTGGCAACTGGTTGATTAATTGGGGGTTGGAAGAGAGACATGAAAGTAGAAGTTTTGGGTTTGTAAATAAGTAATTATAAGAGGTAGAAAAGAAACAAGAGAAAGAAGAGGCCGCTTTTTGAGAGACGATGATCAGTTTAGATTTGGACATTTTAAGGGTTTGAAGGGATGTCAATCCAGCTGCACAGACATACATGCTAAGAAGTTAGAAAAAAAGGTTTTGAAATATGGAAAAGAGTACTGAACTAGAAAGTAGACTGGGAAGTAACTAGCCAAGCAGTGATATCACTATGAGAGAAAAGAAGAAAACAAAGGGCATAATCTTGGACAATATTTTCTTAGATTCTTGCTACTGAAAGCGTGGTCAATGGTTCAAAGTCATTAGCATCATGAGGAAGTTTGTTAAAAAACCAGAATCTGGGCGGCGCCTGTGGCTCAAAGGAGTAGGGTACTGGCCCCATATGCCAGGGGTGGCGGGTTCAAACCCAGCCCTGGCCAAAAACTGCAAAAAAAAAAATTAGAATCTTAGACTCCATCTCAGACCTGCTGAGCCAGTACCTTCAATTTAACAAGAACCTGAAGATATTTGTACCACAGCAAAATTTGAGAAGCTCTGATCTATATTCGAGAAGCCAGCAAAGAGGAAGGAGAAAGGATAACATATAATCATCAAAACAATGTAAACTGGAGTTTCACAAACAGGGAAGGAAAGGGTGTTGATCAGTAATATCCAAAACCACGGAGGTTGAAAAGCACAGGGAAGAAGGTGCGTTTGCATTTTGTGATTAGTTAGTCATTATGACCATGTTCTAATGGAACAGAAACTGCCACTTTCTGGTCAGGAAGAACCTAGTGACCCTGTCCACCTAATCCCCACATATATGAGACCTACTAAAGTAAGTGGGTAGATTTCACAGTGGGAGAAAGTAGAAATTCTCTTCTAGTTGCTTCTGTTTTCTCAGTGAAATAAAGAACAAGATCATTTTGGCAGGCTGCTAATCGCCCATCTCAATTTAGTCTCTTATCCATGAACACACAGATGACTTTTCTCTTCCCTTGTAGATAGATACTGTAAAGTATTAAGTTAATGACAATAGAATGTGAACAGAAATTATGTCTGTTACTGCCAAGTCAGGGCCTTATTCTGAGTGTACTTATGCCTCTGTGTATTTTCCTTTCTGCCAGTGGGACTCTGGACATAGTGACTCTGCTTTGATTATGTGGATGACTTGAAGCCTCTGAGGTTGGCAGAGCCGCAAGAAAGAGAACCTGGATGAAAGAGAACAGCCCACTGACCTGCAACACCCAATTATGTGAGCAAGATATAAATTTCTATTGAGTTGGAGGCATAACATTTTGGGGTCTATTCATTGTAGCAATTTAGCCTACGCTAACATATTCATTAACTGAAAGTAATGAGAGAAGAAGAAAAGGAATCTATGAGTAAGGAAGAAGGAATTAACTAGGCTCGGCACCTGTGGCTCAGGCGGCTAAGGCGCCAGCCATATACACCTAAGGTGGCGGGTTCAAATCCCCAGCCTGGGCCCGCCAAACAACAATGACGGCTGCAACCAAAAAATGGCCGGGTGTTGTGGTGGGCGCCTGTAGTCCCAGCTACTTGGGAGGCTGAGGCAGGAGACTCGCTTGAGCCCAGGAGTTGGAGGTTGCTGTGAGCTGTGATGCCATGGCACTCTACCCAGGGGGATAGCTTGAGGCTCCATCTAAAAAAAAAAAAAAAAAAAAAAGAATTAAATAGAACATAGTAAAGTTTCCAGACATAACTGAGGACCCCCTTGAATATGATTTTCTCCAACCATGTTCAGTTGTTCATGGGAAGGCACTGAGTACGTAGTTTTGGCAGTCACCAGACTGATACCTAGTGGAACAGGAATGATGGGGAGAGAAGGTCAAAGTAGTTGAGGATAGAAGCAAAGGAAGCTTTATAACTTCAGACATTGTAAGAAGTAAGGCAGTGAAAGGAATGGTGAAAAGAGGGTAGGGAAACTAAATTGGTGTTTTTGATCAGGTTGAAGAATTAAAAGTTTACATATTATATGGAATGATGTGGAAAGATAAGAGTTTGGAGAGTGAGAGGCTTGTAATTAAGAGGAGGGGCTGTAGTTACTGGTTAATATCAGGGTGTAGGGAATGATCATGAGAATGGGTAACTAAGGTAGGAGAGCATACTTTCAAAGATCCTTTGAAACATGGTCAAGGAATTGAGAGGCAGTAGGGTTTTGAAAGGAGCAGCAAATACACACATACACACACACACACACACACATATATATAGTTTTATATATATTACAGACACACATACACTCTTCTTCACAAAGAATTACCACAGAAGTGATTAAGAATAGTGTTGGAGTAGTGAGTGATCTTAGAGTGATAGTATCCCTGGTACTAAAATCTTTAAACAACAAGGAGTTAAATTCTTTGAATTAGGGTGCTCAAGGCCATCAGTAGTTCAATATGTTAAATTATTGCCAATATCGTATTTCATTTAAATAGGCACTTTTATGTTGCTAAAGTGGGGTTTCTAATTGCTTCCCTGTGACCTCTCAAATTATGATAGTAACTGCTTTCTTTTACAAGAAATGCCTATCAGTCTGGATTATATACCTAGCACATGCCAGGCTTCCAAGTTTACATGATTATGCTTTAAAATTTGTCATAGATTATTCTGTTTTACTTCCAACATGTATCTCAAATAGATAATGTTGACAGTGATGCTATGTATTATTTGATATGGCAAAACATATCAAATAATACACAGCAAATGTTCAAAATCTATATTTAAATCTCATTTATAACTTAAATTAACAATAAATAGGGATTGACCAAAGATCTGATGAATTGGAAATAAAAAGATTATATTAAAAAATGACCTACATATTAGGTAGCATAAGGGCTCTGGAGTCAGACTGCCAGGGATTGAATTACGACATTATTCTGAAGATACATCATAAATACTCACCCTGGGCAACATAGTGAGACCCCATCTCTACAAAAAAATTTTAAAAATTTATTGGGCATGGTGGCACACACCTGGAGTCCCAGCTACTACAAAGACTGAGGCAGGAGGATCACATAAGCCCAGGGTTTAAGGTTGCAGTGAGCTGTGATGACACCATTACACACCAGCCTGGGTGATGGAGCCAGATCCTGTGTCTTTAAAAAAAAAGATATGTCATACACATATGTATGGGTGTCCACATGTATGTATAAATGTGCATATAATCATTTAAAAATGCTAAACATTCAATTAAAGTTAGGTATAATTATTCAATTATTGTACTTACATCTAATTCATACAGAATTTCCTTTAACTATGTTTAAACTTTTCCTGCTTAGAAAATGTTATTACATATGTACATGTTAAGATTTAATGGCAAGGAGACCTCTGGGCAAATATGGTGCATTGGACACACGTCTGTCTCCGCTTACCCAGGAGGATGACATTAAAGTGACAGTGAAGAAATAAAAATGATATAAACCTATAAAGAGAAAGCAAACAGGGAAAGAGATCCCTGCTGAAGAAGGATGCCAACAAAACTTAGGGATGTGGAAAGCAATAACTGACTTAACCAAAGCTGAGAACATTAACAGAAAAGCTTTTAGGAGGAGCCT